ACATGGCTGCAACTGCGGGCAGATATTACGGAGACGGTGGCAGAGCGACCAAAAGACAGAAAACTGAGGACGGAGGAATGACAACTGTAAGACATTATTTCATATCTTTGTAGTTGGCGCATTATACCGTGTTAAAATATGAGGTTTTGTCGATTAAATATACAATTATTTGCTAGACAACGTGGTGCGTTTTACACCGGTGGAAAAAGCTAAGTAGCTAGGTAAACCATTCAAACCCGACTGTAGTGCTTCTGACAAAGGTTTTAAAAATTAACGAATACAATTCATGGATTCGCGGAAACATACGTTACATGTGTGTAAATATATAATTGTATTGTGTTTATGTTTGAATTTTAAGGAGAGCTATGAAGACCCCCATAAACCGCTGCCGTCATCAGTGGTGCACATCAGGGGTTTGGTAGACGGTATTATGGAAGCTGACCTGGTGGAGGCTCTGCAGGAGTTTGGAGCCATCAGGTAAGACCAAGTCCACACCGACTTGTTGTCCTTATGTGCTCCAGATGAGTAAATGTACATGGTGATATACTCAACAGTTTTCCCTCAATTTAAAACCGTTGTCTTTATTAAAAGCTGAGTTGCTTTTTTTATGAGTGATTCATCATCACCTTAAATCTAAGGAAACTAAATTGCAACTTCCTTTACTTAAATGTTAAGTTTTTAGTGGCTCAGAATAGAATAGTTTCAATGAGACTCAATATTGTTTTGTGACACTCCCTGTCATTTTATGGTCATTATTTTCTTTCTCTTTATTTAAAAAAAAGCAATAGATTGTTTTTAATTAATTTTTCAGATGTAATATTGTGCACAAAAAATTTAAAATTCAGGTAATTAGTAGCAATGTAGAAAACTTCATCAACTAAACATCAATTTAGTTTTGCTACCCTTTTCCCTTTTTCAGTTATGTGGTCATGATGCCTAAGAAACGCCAGGCATTGGTGGAATATGAGGACATGAGTGGTTCCTGCAATGCTGTCGCTTATGCTGCAGATAACCAGGTTTACATCGCAGGCCACCCTGCTTTCATCAACTACTCCACCAGCCAAAAGATCTCCAGGCCAGGGGACTCGGATGACAACCGAAGTGTCAACAATGTGCTGCTGCTCACAATTATAAACCCCATTTATCCTATTACCACGGTAAAAGTGTATTTGTTTGTTGTGAAAAGAAATAATATAATTTATATCACAAATGTAAGAATTATCAACTATTGAATGGTCCTTTAGTTTGTGGCATTTCCCAGAGACTGAAGTATTTATAACAATAGTTGTCAGTTTTACTTATAACCACAATTTATTTGATTACAACATTTGTAAATGCTGACAGGTGTTATTTTCTCATCTGTTAAAAAAAGCCTACTTTTTCATTCCAGAATATAACAATATATAATATAATATGGCAGTTCACGTTGGTGCTCTTTGTTTTGTTGTACTATCAGACAACCTCTTAATGTACAGAACATATTTTGCATTTTTTGAAACTAACTAAATTATTCGCTTGGCTTTTACAGGATGTACTCTACACTATCTGCAACAACTGTGGTCCTGTGCAGAGGATTGTGATCTTCAGAAAGAATGGTGTCCAGGCTATGGTTGAATATCCTTTGGTTTGAATATACTGTATATTTTAACTTATTTTTACTAGCCATATGGTGACTGTAATACCATAATATGTTGTTTAAGTGCATATAAAAATTCAAGTCACACTTTTTCTTAATTATTTGCTGCCACATTTGATACTGTCCAAAGTGCCCAGAGAGCAAAAGCCTCTTTGAATGGGGCAGATATCTATTCTGGATGTTGCACACTGAAGATAGAGTATGCTAAGGTGAGTGCCCGACTATGTCTGATCATCCTTTTCACCCGATTTGGGTTTTTAAAAAAGGTAGCAAGAATTTTGTCTAACAATGTTATGTCTGCAGCCTGCACGCCTCAACGTCTTCAAAAACGACCAAGACACGTGGGACTACACAAACCCAACCTTGAGCGGCCAAGGTAAGTCACAAACCAAGTCCTAACAATCTTTAGTTTACTTTCTCTTTTCTTCACATGTCACTATACTGGGTTTTTCTGTCTCCAGGAGTACTGCCTTTGATCACCGTTGTAAATTGTTTTTCATAATTCTTAAGATGTTCACAGGCAGTATCCCTGTGATGCCTTCACAGTCTTGATGTATTTTCACCACAATGTAACTGCACTATGTAAGGGCATGAGGAGCATCCTCATAGGCAGCCATCCTCGAAGACAGTCTTACTGTATGCATGTAAAAAGATCAGTGCACACGTCACTGGACCACACTTAGCCAGACTTTTTGACACAGTTCACATTCTCTATCCAGCATGCTATGGCTGCACATGTGCATGCCACAGCCTATCCCCAACTCAGTAAACACTGGTGACTGTTGCACCTGCCAACACAGTTTTAAACATAGTGGAGATTTTGTTGTGACTTAAATGAGACATGTGTATTTGCCACATAGACTCAAAGGCCTCTAAACACAAGTCTGCCTAAGGTCTCATGAGATGTGAAATGTCTTGTTGCAATTTTTTGAAAGCTGTTCATTTATTGCTAAAAACTATGCCTAGTCAGTAGCTAGCTTCACTATATCAAGCAATACTGACCATGTAATATAAAGATTTGAGCCACAAGAATATTCCTGTTCATTAAATCTCTATTTTATACAACAAATACATTCTATTACCATGAAATTCCTTCCTCTTTATAGTAAAAATATTAGTTAATATCTGCGTGCTGCTACATACAGAACCAGTCAAGCTAGACAGGTCTGTGGCTCTATGATCCTGCTTGTTTGAGATGGGTAAACATTTAACAAAACAAGGCTGTATCAAATTTACATGGAGAACTTACATGTAACAAAAAAAGCAAAAACATATTTCAGATGAGACATGGCTTTTATTTTGAAGAAATGCATGTACAAATTATTCATTTATTACAAACAATCATATTAAATGAAAAGAAATTCTGTATACACAAAAAATATCTAACCAAAAAGTGCAAAAACATTGATTTTATTCCAAGTATAGGTTTTACTAACTATTACTTTCTGGACACTGTTAAAGACATTGCTGTTTGTCAACGACCAGAATAATAATCTGTACATTGCGGGTTTGCTTTTGAACATTTATGCTGTTGTACTTTGTGCTGCCTTATGAAGCAAAGATACTCCTTGTGTCCTCACTGTGCAAAAATCAAACAGGCTTACGTCTAAACAGATACATGCTACAGAGATGCAGTGCTTTCTACGACTACAGCATAACAGCACCCACAGCTAATGTCAATTAGCCCTCTGGCATACATCGGACACAGTGGGGCGGCAAACACTGGAACACAACCTCAACTCAGTACTTGCCAATATCAAGTTCATCATCATCATCATCACCACCACCCTTATCTCCACCACTTGTCGTGGACATTTGACATTTTGGTGGTGGTCTTCATCCACCATTTTAATATGAATGACAGAGGTATCCCAAGGCCACGTGAACAGACACCTCGCATATCCACCACAGACTGATGGTAGAATAACAAGCATCTACCAGCACCTTTTTACCAGTACAGCACATGTGCAGCATCCCGAGGAGTCAACACTCTTGACACACAACATTGATGATTGAAAAGCTGGAGACAGGCATGCGCTCGTTGCGGCCACACCACCTAGCTTTTGGGATGTTCCTGGCATAACACTACTACAGGGAGCAACAGAGGAGATTTCTGACACATTCAGCCTGACCAGGGAACAGATGACACTACATACTGGCGCTGTAAACAAAAAAAGAAGGCTGCACTCTTTCTGAGCTGTAATCTCTGGTGTTCTGTGCCGAACACAACACCACAACACAACGAGGTGAACATTTACGGCAACATACAGAACTCTACTGCAGTGACAGCATATCATCACACAGATACTCCAGATGATTTATTGGCGAGCACTAGATGGCTTTTCACTCCCATTTTCACACAAGAAGAAACATCCACAGGGGGGCAAGTGAAGACACAACCATCAAACAACATCAAGCATACGCACAGAGGCAAACAGTATAAAAATCCTTTCCCAGCCTTGCCTACATTTAAGGACTCTGGTGTGTTGTTTTTCCCTCTGCCTTCCTCCCCATTTTCCTCTCTCTGCTTTTCTTATGTTGTTTCTGCGTTATTTCATTGACCCCTTTTTGCACTGGCCTACAGTGATATCTTTAACACCTCCTGTGTGATGCAGGTTTGGCTCAGTGTTTCTGTGGACTGACAGCCCACTCTGACATGGTGCAAATGTCCTGCTTTGTGGTCAGATCACGGTAAGCTGGAATTGAGCCTCCTACTCCAACTTTTAAAACAAACTGGCAGCGTGCACACACCAGGGATGGATCTGTGGATGTACTTTTGTTTCTGATGGTTGGGATGGAAGGAGGAAAAGAAGACAAATAAGGCTTGAGAGTCAGTTCAGGCTGGAGTCAGAGGTTGGCGGGTTGCTGAAGACTGCCCCCTACCTGCCCACTGTGTTCTATGCTCCATGTGTGGTGCTGTAAGTACTTCAAAGAAACTCATGGGTAACCTGATTGTTTGACAAAGTGGGTGAATGAATGCAAAAGATGGTTATACAATTATGAGACAGTGTCTGACAATCTATAACTATCTATTATATGTTAAGGCAGTATGTCTAGAACGCCTGTTCTGGATTTACTGGATGGATTTCCAAATAATTTCTAGGCTATAAGAACAAAATAACTGCAGTAAAATCCTACCTTTTTCATTTCATTTTATAGCTTTAAATTCCCATGGCTTCATTTTGACACATATTCACAGTAGAGTTTTAATCTCAAACTCCACATACCTTAATGCTGTGTGGGTTTCTTTTGAACTGTTGTTAAATTGAATGGTCCAGAATCCAAGAAGTTGATGCTATATTTTCATCAAATTCTTGTTCTCAGGACTAAACTTGGGCCAGAGCCAAATTCATGCAGGATGAGTTTTGGAAAATTAGTTTAGCTCCCTTTGTGCTTTTGCTCATTATTTCTTGGGGTGGGTGGTTTTTGTTGTGCTTTTGTACATGATTTTAGGAAAATTAGTCTGTGGAAAAAATGTTGTCCAATAAGTCCGTGCTCTGATAAAAAAAAAAAAAAAATTTATTTTAACTGTGATTATAACTCAATATTGAAGCATGCATAAATATATAATTGCCAATTACGTGAGTTAGTTTGTTCTGTTAATTCTGTGAATGGGCCCTTGAATTTTGTTCTATAGAGGACTGACATTGTACATATTATTTTGATATAATGGTGTGTTGTAGTCCAAATATTTGATGTCTGTCATTCCTGATGTTTAATTTGTGTCTCAAATCAGTTTTTTTAATAGTTTCCAATAAAACACAGTTGGATCACTGGTGCTGTTTATGGCACTGACTCATATTCTGATCTCTGACCTTCAATCAAATGCTTTGTATCGTCATGTCAATGCAGTTTTTTCAAATTTCAAAGTGAAGCTTATTTTGGATTTGACATGTATATGTATGTGTACCTGCACAGATGCTGACGGTGAAGGCAATTGGAACAGTTCACAAGGTGTGTGTATTTACTAGGATATCTCATGAAGTAGATCTTTAAAGTGCTTCTTTGGGGTTTTTTTATTATTTGAAAATGTAAACATTTAAAAATCTCCATTATGTCAAATTCCTAAAAGAGCTGAGTGCCTGCAAACACACAACGTTGTCTTGTGTTGCTTGTCTTTCACTGTCATTCACCCTGTCACATCGCTTGCTTATTAGCGTAAGTCTTGTATTAATGCAAGTTATTATTTACTGTTACAGATACCAATGCCAATCCCAACAAACGTCAGAGGCAGCCTGCTCTTCTAGGAGACCATCCTCCTGATTATGGTCAGTATGCACAAAATGTTGTCCCGGTATATGGAATAATGTAAGGCTCTTTCTTTAGCTGTGCCTTGTATTCTCTTTTAAATGAAGCTGGCCCCCAAGGTGGTTACCATGCTTACAGTGAAGAGGGCTACGGTCCTCCTCCTCACCACCGCATGGGGCCCGGAATGGGTGGGCGTGGTCGCAGTAGCCAGCGCTATGGCCCTGGATATGGACCACCACCTCCTGAGTATGGTCCTCATGCCGACTCTCCAGTTCTTATGGTGTATGGACTTGAACCATCAAAGATCAATGCTGACAGGGTCTTTAACATCTTTTGCCTCTATGGAAATGTAGAGAGGGTGAGTGAAAGGTCTTGAAAGAGACAAAGACAGTTTTGCTCATTGTCCATAAGTCATTCCTTATGTAATAGTCATTAAACTAGATCATTCTTTTCCATAGGTGAAGTTCATGAAGAGTAAACCTGGAGCTGCAATGGTGGAGATGGGAGATGGGTATTCTGTGGACAGAGCAATCACTCATCTCAACAACAATTTTCTTTTTGGACAGAAGCTCAGTGTTTGGTACAAACTACTCTTTACAACTTAAGAAAATAGTGCCATAAAAAACCCCTCAAAGAGAATACAGCATTACATCATACAGATGACGAACTAATGTTGAGTATGTTTTCTGGCCAGTGTGTCTAAGCAGCAGGCCATTGTGCCTGGACAGTGTTACCAGTTAGAAGATAACACCAGTAGCTTCAAGGATTTCCATGGCTCACGTAACAACCGCTTCACCTCTCCTGAGCAGGCAGCTAAAAATCGTATCCAACACCCCAGCAATGTCTTGCACTTCTTTAACGCACAGCCTGACATCTCTGAGGAGATTTTCAACCAGGTAATACAGAGCGTTAACAGGAACCTTAAATGAAAAGTTATCTTGTCAAGTGTTTCACATATCTTTGTGTCTTGTAGGTCTGCGATGAAATGGGGATCAAGAGTCCCACAAGTGTAAAGCTTTTCAATACAAAAAGTGAGTAACAGGGATTATTAATTGTTTAAATCATAAAATGGTGGATAAGAGTAGTGTTTTCATAGTAGGAGTTGTCATGATGACGAGATGTTTTAACATCTGTTATGAGGTTAGATGCATTAACACTAATTATTGTATTCAGTTTGGGTGTGTTTTTTCCCTGTTTGATTAATTAACGACTGAAATACAGTATACTGTATTGTAAGATCTGCCTTCAAATGCAGCCACCTAGTTAAGTATATACAGTATGTTCATTTTAGTTGATCTTAAAAAGTTTTGTGTACCTTGTAGGTGAGAGAAGTTCATCTGGCCTGCTTGAGTGGGAATCGATCAGTGATGCGATGGAAGGCCTTGCTATGATGAACCATTTCCAGATGAAAAACCCAAGTAAATGCTTATCATTATATCACATACATATTCACGTTACCAAAGGACATTTTATGTGAGTTTTGTATATTCTGTACTTTGTTTACTTGGTTGATCCTTATAAATCTTCTGCTTTCTGCTCCAGGTGGG